TTTTAAAAAAATTTAAAAACAGAAATATTATAATTTATAAATAAATATAATATTAATTTTATTATTAAGTATTATTCTTTATAAATTATTTAATTTAAATATTAAATATGTTTTTAAAAATTAATTATACTTTTTTTAAAAATCTGAAAATCAAAAAATATTTTTTTTTACACAATTTGAACAAAAAAGGCCAAAAAAAATGAAAAAAAAAAGTCCAAGTGATAAATCGGTTACTCGGTAACCGATTTCTCAAAAAGATTTTGAAAAAAAAATTAAAAATTCCTTTGAAAAATTAGTTACCCAGTAACCGATTTCTCACCTGGACCTCAAAAACGGGTTATTTGCGTAAATAATCTTGAGCTCAAGTTATTTAAATAAATAAATAAAAATTTGATATATTAAAAAAAGTCTATTTTTAACTTCTTACCACTTATCTCTCTCTTTTCATTTCTCTTCTTTTCTATTTGTTTTACGAAACAAGAACTAAATAAAGGTGAGTACTATAACGTTAAATCACTTCAATTAAGTACTTTTAGTAATTACTCATTTAGATTTATTCTTATTTTTGTAATTTCTTACTTAATGAAATTAAATTATTAATATTAAATTTATAATTTACACAAGTTTACAGCAATAATATAATATATTATTCATATTTAAAGTAAGAAGTAATAATTGATTAAATATTTTTTATAATAACAAAATTATATATTAATTAATATATATTTTACTATTAATATTAACTCACAATAACACTAAAAAAAATGCATTATGGATCGAATTTAGCAACCAAATGTTATGGTTAGAATTAGTAATTAATTATTTTATATAAAATTAAAAAAGTTAAAGTGCGAATTTAACAACCGACATATTAGTCACCAATAAATTTAAAATTGACTAGTCATTAAATCAGTAACAATCATTATTTTATATATAAATCATTGTGAAACATTTTATAATCTAACATATCAATCGCTAAAATATTATTTAGCAACTGAATAAATCGATTGGTAAATGAAATGAAAATAAAAATATAATACTTTGTGATTGAAAAATTAATTATCACAAAAACTTTAACACTTTTTAATATATAATATTGTGAGACCCCTGTTCATTTTTTTCTTTCTCCCTACTCACTTCACTCTTCTCATTTTCTCTCTTTCAACTCACTTTCTCTCAATTCTCCTTTACTCTCTCTCTTTTCCCTGTTTCCTTTTTCTCTGATCTTGGGTGGCAGTGGTGACCTTAGGAGCTGAGTAGTGGTGTTGGATTGCTAGTGAGCCGTGCGGAGCTCCTCTTCAAGCTTCTTCTTCTCCTTTCTCTTCTCGGAGCTCGGAATCGTCTCACCGAGGTAAGGGAAGTTAGTTTTGCTGCGTTTTGGCTGAAAACGTGTTCTAGGAACTTCTTGATTGTTTGATGTTTGGTGATTTTGCTGAGATTGGAGTATGGGGTTTTCAGGGTTCTTTGAGAAATTTTGGGGAAATCCTTGTTTTGTTGTTGCATGTACGAAAAGGCATGATTTTTGAGCTGCTGGTTGAAAATGGGACACTTTGTTGGGTTTACATGTGTTTGGGATATGATTTTTCGCAGGTTTTGATGAAATTTTCGAAGTAGGTAAGGGTTCCAGTTTGAATTTGCGCCGGGTGCAGTTATTCGCGCCGGGCGTTCATTAATATGGAAAATCCCTGGATGAATCGCGCCGGGCTCGGGGAGAACCACGCGGGGTGCAATAGACCTCTATAGGTCTCTGGTTGAGTAATGGGCCGGGCGCGCTATTAATTCGCCGGGCGTGAGGTTGACTTTCAGAATTTGACTTTATAGTTTTCATGAAAGTTGTAGCCTTGGATGTTAGCTTTTCAATGGCGCTAGAATCACTCAAAAAGGAGTTTTAGAACTCTCGATATGGTTGTTTTAGTGAAGAGGGGTCGAGCTGCTAGCTTTGTTTATAGCTGTTGCAGTTTTTATCATTTTTAACAAGGTAGATGAAGGAAGTAGGACCTGGTGTCTTCATGAGAGTTGTAGGAAATCTTCTTATCTTACATATGAGATAAGGATGAGCATGGTAGGAGTAGTATAACTCCTGATGTGCTGTTTTCTGTGAAGGTTGCCATTTCACATTTAGTGGTTTGGTTAAGTTGAAGTTGTTTTAGGTGCTTGGGTTGATTGGTGTTGTTTGGGTGGGTAATTTGACAAGATAGATGAGTTGTAAACAAGGTGGATGAGCCGTATAATGTGTAGAATATGCTGTATGTTGAATATGCTGTATGTAGTATATTTTAAAAAAAAATTGTTGATCATGCTGTTGATAATGTTGTTTATGCTGATTAAAGCTGTTAATGATGAGTGATGATTTTGATGTGCTGCGCTGAGCGCGGCCCTTGTCGCGCTGGGCATGAGACTCCTTGGGAGTCTCTGCCTTGTGGGTGCCGAGCACAATTGGTATTGCGCCAGGCGCGAGTTGTAACATCCTAAATTTTAAATTAATTAAATTTTA